CCACTGTGTAGGGGAGGAGTGGTGACAGCCGAGGAGAGTCATGTGACCACTGTGTAGGGGAGGAGTGGTGACAGCCGAGGAGAGTCATGTGACCACTGTGTAGGGGAGGAGTGGTGACAGCCGAGGAGAGTCATGTGACCACTGTGTAGGGGAGGAGTGGTGACAGCCGAGGAGAGTATGTGACCACTGTGTAGGGGAGGAGTGGTGACAGCCGAGGAGAGTCATGTGACCACTGTGTAGGGGAGGAGTGGTGACAGCCGAGGAGAGTCATGTGACCACTCTGTAGGGGAGGAGTAGTGACAGCCGGGGAGAGTCATGTGACCACTGTGTAGGGGAGGAGTGGTGACAGCCTGTCGTGTTGTCTATATAGTAGGGGGTGAAATCAGCACTCTGGCTGAACAGCGTTCTCCCCTTTCCTCAGACACGAGAGAGCGTCGCCCGCCTGAGAGCGCGAGAGAACCGACTGAACGAGAGAGAGCAGCGTCTGATTGGCGGATACGACGGGCCGCTGGATGGCGACAGCAAGGCCTTGAGGAGCCTGACTGAGGAGGTGAGGGTGGATGAGGAGGGGGGTGCATGGGGAAGGTGCAGTATGCAACATTTTTGGTCTTGGGTTTTCATTGGCCCAGGCACATCACATGACATCACAGTTGGCGGTTTCTGACACATTTTACGGCGGGATTCCCCTTTAAGTAGTAAATGATCAGTCAGCAGGAAGTGATCGCCTCACAAGGGGGTGTTTCCTCCCGCACCCCCAATAATATGAGACATCAGACGCTCCAATCTGGTGACGTTTCTGCTTCTCTTTCAGTTCCACAAGCTGCGGAAGTCTCTGGAAGTCTCCCTCCCCACGCTGCGCTCCTTCCAGGTAATGATGGGCAGACTGGTGTGGGGGAAGGGAGGAGGGGCAGACTGGTGTGGGGGAAGGGAGGAGGGGCATCCTGTCTTGTTCTGAGGTTTTTGTGCCCGGAGTTCACCTTTAAAGTGCATTTTTTTATATATTCAGTCCAATGTTTGCTCTCTGTGTCCCTTTGGGGAGATTTCCCATCACTTCCTGTCCTGGAGGTGCAACAGGAAATCTCTCTAAAGTGAAGGGAAATCCCATCTTAGTTGTCACTGTGATTACTCCAGGAAGAGTCAGTTCCCTAGCCCCGCCCCCTGCTTGTATGTCGTAGCTCTCTTTTGTTCTGGGAGTGTCCAATTGCTGTCTATGCTGGCCCAGCTCCTCTGCTCCTCCCCTTACCTCCTTGCATAACTTTTTATGTAGCCGCTGGGGGCGGAGTGAGGGGGGAATACTATAAAGTGGAAGTCTGCTGAGATCACATCCAAGATGGCGGCACCCGGCGGGGGTCTCGGGGCTTTGGAAGTGACGTGGATGCTGATAAATTGTGATGGAAAGATTGCTGTTAGGCGGAATGTTCTGGTGACTGGGTCTGACCTCTGACCCTCCTGACCTCTGACCCTCCTGTGTTGTCTTGCAGGGGGACCCCGGCCTCCATCCTCCGTGGGACAGGGAGTACCGGGACCGCATGCTGGAGATGGCGGAGGCTCACGACCGGCAATTGGCGGCTATCCAGGCCCGGAACCAGGCGCTGGAAGTGCAGAGAGAAGGTGATGAAACATGTCACAGATCCAATGCTACAATGTACCCCAATGACACAATGGGCCGGTCTGTGGTCACGTGACACATCCCCATCCAATCACTCTCCAAGGAGCTCCATACTAATATTGGAACCCTTAAAAAATAAGTGCCCCACCAACCTAAACGGTCCCACCCTCCCCCCTCTGCAGATCTATAATAACGGAGATCCGAGGGCCACCGCTCTAATGTCTGTTACCATCCAGCGCTGCAAGTCTCCCCCTGCTGGCCATAGAGGTCTATGGGGGTGTAATGTGCAGGTGTGACCAGCAGAGGGAGCACTGTGGCTCTCAATGTAAACAATAGAGGAACTGCGACGGTTGGTTGGATCTCGGTAAGTACAGATCTGCAGAAGCGGGCAGGGTGGGATTGTTTGGGGTGGGGGTTTCTTTAGAGCAGGGGTAGCCAAACTCAGGCCCTCCAGCTGTGGTGGAACTACAAATCCCATGAGGCATTGCAAGATCCTCACAGCCACAGACATGACTCCCGGAGAGAGATGCCTCATGGGATTTGTAGTTTCTCCCCAGCTGGAGGGCTAGATTTTGTCTTCCCTAATTCCCCCCATGACCTAAACAATCCCACCCCGTGCAGGCGATTGCATTGCGGCCGGAGGGCGTGGCTACGGTGCCATTCACTTCAATGGACAGACACGCCCCCTCCTGCCCCACTAAAAAGTGAGCCGGCCGCAATGCGAGGCAGCGGGTTCTGGCCAGAATCGGGCCGGGAACGCACTGCTGTGGTGTGAACGGGCCCTGAGTGTAAGGAAATTGATAGAAATGTGGCAGA